TTGCTTATTCAGGTGTCTGTAGATGGTGACCACTGGTCTTCTCCGTCTCCTCTGCGCATTTCTTTTTGCGGTTTTCCTTCGGCAGTTGTCGCTGTAAACCCCTCAAGTGTCTCTCTTGAAGGTCTTTAACCACAAACCCTAAACCCTAAACCCTAAACCCTAAATCCTAAACCCGAAACCCCTCAAGTGTCTCTCATGAAGGTCTCTAACCCTAAACCCTAAACCCTAAACCCTAAATCTTAAATCCTAAACCATAAATCCTAAACCCTAATCCCTTAGAGTGTCTCTCTTAAAGGTCTCTAACCACAAACCCTAAACCCTAAACGTTAATCTGTTAACCCTTCTGCTGCTGCTACCCCACAGGTGGTGTCTCTCTAGAGATATTGCTGGATCGGCCGATCCCAGAGGGCCTCCGCTGCGAAGGTGCAGCGGTGCGCTTCACTGTAGCCTCAGAAACCGAGCTGCAGCAGCAGCAGCAACAGCAACAGCAGCAGCAGCAGCAGGATGAAGATGAAGGTTTGTGTGGATGCCTAGGATATGCTCCTGCTGCAGTTACAGCTAGAAGAGACAGGCTGCGCTGCACCGTCCCTCCCTTCGCTCAAACCCTCTTACCTCGCTGTCTCTTGAGGGTCTCCGCCTCCCTTAACGGCAAGCCCCTAAACCCTAAACCCTAAACCCTAAACCCTGGGCGCTTAGCCTCCCGAAAAACAATCAAATGAACGGCCTTAACCAGAATTTTTTGAAACCCTAAACCCTAAACAATAAACCCTAAACCCTCAGTCGTCCTCTGCGAGGCTCTCCAGAGTGCGAAGACAGAAAGGGGATGCTTTTAGGGTTTAGGGTTTAGGGTTTAGGGTTTACGGTAGCTCAGGCATAGCGTGCTCGTCTCCATGATCTCACGTTCCCCCCATGCGCCCTCAGCTAGCTGTCTCGGTCGGCTAGCTAGCTAGCCAGCTAGCCAGCTGTGTACCTAGCTGTCTGGCTGGCTAGCTAGCTAGCTGACTAGCTAGCTAGCTGTCTCGCTAGCTAACTAGATAGTTGTCTAGTTAACTCTCTGGCTGTATAGCTAGCTAACTAGCTAGCTAGCTATACTCTACGGCTAGCTAGCTAGCTAGCTAGCTAGCTAGGTAGATGCGGGTGTGGGTGCGTGTAGGGGAACATTTTACTGGCAGCAGCGGTTTGCTCTGCCTGCTGTCTCCTGAAGCCTTTTCGGTGTCTCCGCCCGTCGGCCCTGCGGGCTGTCCACTCGCAATCAGCATCAGTACACCGCAGCTCAAAGCATTACCTCCCCTCGCGCTGCAGCGTCTCCAGCAGCACATGACCGCCACAACCAGCAGCAGCAGCAGCAGCAGCAGCAGCAGCAGCAGCAGTGGCAGTGGCTGCTGCTGTCTCCTTGTACACCCCGACGGCAGCAAGCAGACAATTTCTGCTGCTCTTCGCAACGGAAGGGTGGAGGCGACGCTCCCCCCAATATTCCTGGAGGTAGCTGTTTGCTGCTGCTGCTGCTCCTGCTGCTGCTGCTGCTCTTGCTGCTGCTAATACTGCTGCTCCTGCTCCTGCTTATGGTGCTGAAGCTGCTGCTGCTGCTGCTCCTGCTGTTGCTGCTGGTGGAGCTGAAGCTGCTCTTGCTGCCATTGCTGGTGGCGCCAGCGCTGCTGCGGTTGCTGGTACCGCTGCCACGCTGTTCCTGCTGCTGCTGCTGCTGCTTCTGCTGCTAAGCAAATTTCTTGAACGCGTATCTGTGTTTTCAGCCCGACGAGCCAGCAACAGAAGAGCAGCAGCAGCAGCAGCAACAACAACAACAACAACAGCAACAACAACAGCAACAGCAGCAGCATCAGCAGCAACAGCAGCAGCAGCAGCAACAGGAGCAGCAGGAACAACAGAGACAGCCGCCGGCGCCCCTCACGGAAGAGCGCAGCGTATTTAAGTGCAGCAAAAACGGAGTGTATGTGCTGCAACTGTTTCTCTCCTTTAATGGAGTAGAGTTCAGCAGCAAGCCGCAGAGATTTGAGGTGTATAGGCAGCTCCAGGCAGACCAGTTGCTGCTATTTACTCTTCCCGCTACTCCTCCAGCTGCTGCTGCTCCTGCTGCTGCTGCTGCTGCAGCTCCTGCTGCTGCTCCTGTTGCTGCTGCAGAGCCTCCCGCTGAAGCAGAACATGCAGATGCAACAGCAGCAGCACGTGACACAGCAGCAGCAACAACAGCGATACCAGCAGCAACAGCTGCTGCTGCTGCTGCTGTTGCAGCAGCTGCTCCTGAAGTGCAGCAAGTCGATGAAGAAGCAGTGCTAAGTAGAGGCACGTTTGCTGCTGCGCTGATGGAGTGCGGGGTGTCTGTACACTCGCCTTGCTTCCGGCTTACGGTGCTGCCTGAAAGTCCTGCTGCTGCTGCTGCTGCTGCTGCTGGTTCACACAACCGAAGCAGCAACCACAGCAGCGCCCCGCGAGATACAAATGCGGCCGCCCCGCATCATCAGGTTGCTGCTGCTGCTGTTGCCGGAGCTGCAGCATCATCTGCAGCAGCAAATGCAGCGACAGCAGCAGCTGCTGCAGCGGATGCGCCTTCAAAGGATGAAGGTGAGGAAGCAGCGCCGCTGCAGCTGCTAGTTCCTGCTGCCTGTAGCAGCGCAGTGCAACAGCAGCTAGCTACGCTCTTTGAGTCTAGCAGCATCCGCTGCAACAGCAAGCGGGGCCTCTCTAGAGACAAAGCAGCAAGGAGCAATGGAAGGAAGGCAGCTGGTGCTGCTCCTACGGGGACCCCCAAAGGTGCTGCTGCTGCTGCAGCAAGCAGCAAGGCAGCTCCACCAGACAAACTGCAAAAGCAACAGCAGCAGCAAAAGGCAGGAAAGGGGCAGCAGCAGCAGCAACAGCAGCAACAGGAACAGCAAAAAGCCGAAACTGCAGAGGAAAACCTCCAGAAAGTCATCGTGGTAAGGTGGAGGCCTGCCGCCATCTAGGGTTTAGGGTTTAGGGTTTAGGGTTTGAGGTTGGTGGTCCTGAGCTAATCTTTCTGGCGTGCGTTTACATCATCTGGGCCTGTTGGTGAGATACCACCCTTAGTGTGATGCCTCTTTGCTGCTGCTTTTGCTGCTGCTGCTGCTGCGGCTGCTGCAGTGCGAGCTCCCTGTGCTTAAGGGCAGCAGCGAAGGGTACAGCCTTTGCAGTTTGGAGCTGTCTATTGATGGCCTCCACTTCGTCCCTGTAGCGGGCGGCAGGCCCCTGAAGCTGAAGAGTAGGTGCAGCAGCAACAGCAGCAGCAGCAGCAGCAACAGCAGCAGCAGCAGCAGCAACAGCAGCAGCAGTGGCAGCAACAGCACGCGTTGCTGCTGTTGCTGCTTCTTGCTCAGAAGCGCGGAGCAGCCCGCTGATGCAGTTGCCCTCTCCCTTCGTGTTTGCTGCTGCTGCAGGAGAGATAGCCTCTGCTGAGGCAGCAGGAGAGAAGCAGTGAAGGAGACACAGGAGCAGCACCAACAGCAACAGAAGCAAAGGCGGGGTCCGACGCCGGATCCGATCCCAGAGGCCTCGCTCCCTATACTGCCGACCTTCGCAGCTTTTCTTAGCTAAGCAACTGACCCTCGTGCGGCTAGCTAGCTAGCTAGCGAGCTGGCTAGGTGGCTAGCTAGCTAGCTAGACCGATTGCTCGCTAGCTGGCTAAACGGTTAAGTAGCTAGCTAGCTAGCCAGCTAGCTATCGATCGGATTGCCCTGACTAGCCCCCTAGGCATTTCGAATGAAATTTGGCTCAGCTGTACAGACAGCTGCGACAGCCTCAGGTAACACAGAAAAGAGATGCATTTAATGCAGCGCTCGCTAGCTAGCTGCAGCTATATGCAGCTAGCCATCCCTGTATATCAGGCAGCTAGCCAGAAGATATCACCGAGGTGTTATATGACAAGAGAAGACAGGCAGACAGCTGCTGCAAGCAAAGATGCAGCAGCAGCGACAGCTTGGGGTGTACGTACACCCCAGCCACTACGTGAGGAGTTTCTGTCTCGCGGTTCTGCTTAGGGTTTGGGTTGGCGCCTTAACGTAAGGCCGTCTAGGGTTTAGGGTTTAGAGTTTAGGGTTTCGGTTTACCACGCAGAGGGGAGCACGGCCCAGCGAAAGACAATTCCTAGAGTAACTGGCTAGCTGCGGCTAGGTAGCTAGCTAGCTGGTCACAGACAGTTCGCCGGTAAAACTGCAGCTAGCTAGCTAGCTAGCTAACTAGCTGCAGCGTTAGCAGGGTTTGTTGCTAGGCCACAGAAAGTTGTAGGTCCGACTGAACTCCCATAGAGCGGCTATCACGCCTCCCCATGCCTGGCTAGCTAGCTAGCTAGCCACGCGTCCAGCTAGCTAGCTAGCTAGCTAGAAACGGATGCGCGAGGCTAGCTGGTCAGATAACGTATCTGCCTCCGCCAAGTGTGCGAGTGGGTTCTGTAGAGACGGGCCTCCGGCGTCTCTGGAGAGCAGCAAATGATTGTTCTTCTGCAGCAGGCAACGGCACATGCAGCTTTTCTGCTGCTTTCTTTAGTTTTTCTGCAGTTACCTCATAATTAGGGTTTGTACGTACACCCCGAGGAGGCGGCATATGCTGTACTGCAGCGAGCCGCCTGCTGCCGCCCCCAAAAGCAGACTGCAGCTCGTTGTTTACTTCCTGTGGATATACATACCCCAACAAACCCTAAACCCTAAACCCTAAACCCGCGAAGCTGAAGCTGCACCAGCAGCAGCACCCAAAGCATCAAATGCAGCAACATCACCAGCAAACAAGAGAAACAGCTACCTCAGCAACAGCTGCACCAATATAGACACGAGCAACAACAGCAGCAAATGCACAAACAGCAGCAGCAGCAACAACAACAGCCGCAGCAGCAGCAGCAGAAGGAGCAGCAGCAGCATCTTACTTGCAAGAGCAAAAGCAGCAGCAACGCCAACAGCGGGAACAGCGGTAGCAATGGCGGCAACAGCAACAGCAGGAACAGCAGCACCCAGAGCAGCAGTAGCACCAACAGCAGCAGCATTAGCAACAGCAGCAGCAACAGCAGCAGCTGCAGCGGCAGCAGCAACAGCAGCAGCAGCAACATACCGAGCTTTGCGCTGACCCCCGAAAATGGAAGGGAGGAAGCCAGTGGCGGCCTCATAAATTCGAACGGCCTCCGTCTCAAGGACAGCTGAAGGCAGCAGCAGCAGCGTGAGCTAGCTAGTTAGCTAGTTAGTTAGTTAGCTAGCTAGCTAGCTGCGCTAGCCAGCTAGAATAATATGTGGGGTGACACTCGACGGCACGAAAAGCAGCAGTAGCAGCACGCAGCTACAGCAGCAACTGCAGCAGAGAAGGTACCAACTGCAACAACGCCCCTTATAAAAGCAGCGGTTCTACTAGCTAGCTAACCAACTCGCTCGCTAGCTAGCTAGCTAGCCAGTTAGGCTGTACCTTTCAGTTTGGGGTCGATCTCCTTTGGTGTCTCCTGGGGCCCGCCTTTAGGGGTATCTTGATGGAGTGTAGGTACAGCCGGCTCTTCGTGTTGGTAGTAAGACCTGTGAGAGGCATTTGAGTGTCTCCTTTGCCTTTGCTGCATGCTGCTGCTGCCATGGGGACCCACTCGGCTGCTTGGGGGCCCCCAATCAGCAGCAACAGGAGCAGCAGGTGCAGCAGCAGCAGAGTGTCTCCGGAGTCTCCTTTCTGCTGCTCTTTGTTCTCGAGGGGTGAGATATTTCTTGCTGTCTCTTCTACATTGCTCTTCTATATAATCATCCCTCATCACCACCTGAAGACAGGAGCAGCAAGCATACATGCATGCCTGCATGCATGCACGTATGCCTGCATGCATGCAGCAGCGTCTTGCTGCAGCAAAAGAGGCCTCACGAGTCCCCTCTGAAGCAAATAGCGCAGTTTCTTTGACCGTCTCCACCTGTCTTTTTCATGTACACCCCAAACCTGTCTCTTCATGATATCTTCTGTCTCCTTAAAATCTAATTCCCTCTCTACAACTCCAGCCAACTCTTCTCTTGAAAGCAAACGCGGGTTCTTGGGGGCCCTCGGGGGCTCCCATCTCCGTGGGGGCCCCCAATACCCTGGGGGCCCCCAACCCTTCTGGGGGCCCCTCTGAGGGAGTGCGTCGTCAGAGCTAGACAAGAGAAGCTGCTGTGGGGAGAAGGCCTCAAAGGTGCTGAGGGCGTTGCACTTAGGGACAGCATCAAATGCTGCGGTGTCTTCAACTCGGTAGGGAGAAGGAACAGCAGTAGGGGGCCTCTGGAGCCCTCTTGCTGCTGCGCGGGGGCTCCAGACAAAGCCGCAGTCAAAAGCAGCAGCCTCCTGCTGCAGCTGCTGCTGATACTGCTGCTGCTGCCGCAGCTGGGGCGCGAACAGATGCTGCAGCAGCTGCTGTTTATGAGATGCAGCAAACCCCACAGCAGAACAAAACATAAAAGACGGAGGCACGTCAACTGAATAGCGGAAGCTAACCAGCAGCAGCAGCAGCAGAAGCAGCACAAGCAGCAGCAGAAGCAGCAGAAGCAGCAGAACAAACACCAGCACCAGAACCAGCGGCAGCAGCAGCAGCAGCAGAAGCAGCAGAACAAACACCAGCACCAGAACCAGCAGCAGCAGCAGCAGCAGCAGCAGCATCTTACTTGTTGATAGGTTTTAAATTCCGTTTTCTGCTTCCCTTCGCAGTTCTTCTTTCCAAAGTGAGGAGAGTTAAGAGTCTGTCTGCTGGTGTCTTCAGGCGTCTTCTCTGTGCACACCTTCGTCTCCTTCTGCTGTCTGTACACCCCACAAGAACGAGAAGAGGCCTCAGAGGGCCCCCAACAAGGTGCAGCCAAACCAAATAAACGAATATTGCGCTGCTGCATTAGGTGCTGCAGTCGCCTAGCGGCCTTAGGAGACAAAGAGTGCCCCCGGTTGGCCCCAGGGGGGCCCCTCAGGGGGCCCCCAGTGGGGCCCTCAAGGAATCCCCCAGGGGGGCCCCCAAGGAAACCCCCAGGGGGGCCCCCAAGGGGGCCCCCCAAAAGCCCTCCAGGCTGCCCTTTGAAAGGTGCAGTAGTGTTCATAGATAAGGAATTATGATAGAGAGATTGAGAGAAGAGATACAAAAGAGATGTTTGAGGGAAGATAACTCTCAGAAGAGTAATAAAAAGGGTTTTAAGGTTGTAAG